CAGCACGTTCCAGGAAAGGAGACTGGCACTAAGTATACATCAATAGCTTTAAAGGTGGTCATACTCAAAAATTATATTTTTATGAATCTATGCCAACCAAATAAATAATGCAGCCAGTGATTCATATGAAACACTTATAAGCTCCAAAAACATATAATTGTGGAGAAAAATGGAAACAATAAAAAATCCCTTAGTAAGAGAATGATTAAATACTTTATTGCATATACAAACTTTGGAATATAATGCTGCCATTAAAAACCATTTTTCAAAGAATATTTAATGTCGTGGAAAGATTCTTAGGCTACATGACTAAGAGAAAAAAACAGAAACTATGTCAGTATAACCCTAATTCAGAAAAAAGGAAAGAAGTGGATACTTAAGAAGGACCACCAAGATGTTTACGGTACCTGTTTCTGAAGAGTATAATAATGAGTGGCAGTTATTTCAGTTTTCAGTACTCTTCACGTATCTTCTAAGTGGTGGGGAAAAAAATCATGTTCTAAAATCACAATCATTAAAATAAAACATCAAATGCCAGATGTGGTGGCTCACACCTGTAATCCCAGCACTTTGGGAGGGCAAGGCGGGCAGATCACTTGAGACCAGGTGTTCAAGACCAGCCTGGTCAATATTGCGAGACCCCATCTTTACTAAAAATACAAAAACTAGTCAGTTGTGGTGGCACGTGCTTGTAATCCCAGCTACTCAAGAGGTTGAGACAGGAGAATCACTTGAACTCAGAAGGCGGAGACTGCAGTGAACCAAGGTCGTGCCACTGCACTTCAGCCAGGGCAACAGAAGGAGACTGTCTCAAAACGAAAACAAAAACAAAATGAAACAAAACAAAACAAACAAATCTCAAAGAATACATGCAACTCTAAAATTAAGGGGATGCAGAGGCCTTACTTGGAACTTACAAATAAATCAATAGACCAAACATATCCTGACTTGCCCATATGGACCTGAGCTTATATACCTACCAATTCCCAAACTAAGTACAAAAAATAACTTAAGATTTAAATCTTGGTCACTAGTTCTCGTTCTCTCACTCTCTCACTCTCTCTGTCTTTCTCTCTCTCTCTTTCTCTTTCTCTCTGTTTCTCTCTCTGTTTCTCTCTCTTTCTTTTTTTTTTTTTTCTCTCTCTCTCTCTTTTTTTTTTCTTAAGCCAGGGTCTGCTGTGTCACCCAGGCTGGAAAGCAGTGGCGATCTCAGCTCACTACAGCCTTGATCTTTCAGACTCAAGCAATCCTCCCACCTCAGCCTCCCAAGTAGTTGGGACTACAGGCTGGTTTTTATAGAGATGGGATCTCTCCGTGTTACCCAGGCTGGTCTGGAACACCTGGGCTCAACCAATCCACCTGCCTCGGCCTCCCAAAGTGCCGGGATTACAGGTGTCAGCCACTGTGCCTGGACCCTTTTTATTTAAGTCCTATTATGAGAAGTTCTTTCCAAGTGCCACAGACTAATTTGGTATGATGGTACAGTATGGTGTGACATCACATGATATTTATAGTATGACATGGTACTTACAGCATGGTATATCTGGCATGGATTGAAATGGTATGCATTCCATGGGAAAGCCTATTAATAAAGTGGCAGAAATTTTTTATACTGTAAAAGCAATATAGTATTATTATAGAAAGATGGAGATCATAAGAAAATAATTACATATGTAATATGGCATCACAATAGAACAGCGTATATTATCTTTTAAATTTTCTTTTCATGCTTTATTATGTATATGTATATTTTAACTTTGACACTTAAAATTTTTAATGTGTGTATAAGTTCGTATCCTGCTTTTGTACTTGTTATAATATAATAAGCACTTTCTATGTTGCCACAATCTTTATTTTTTTAATGACTGCATATTTTTAGTAAGTAAATATTTTCTATTTTAAATTACTTTTTGTTGGACAATCAAGTTGTTTTCTTTCAAATTTTCAATAAAGTCCTTTCAGCCAGTCACCTAGTAAATAATTTTAATGAAAATCCCAATTTACGTTCATACCTAATCGGTATATTTATATACTCACTACAATGGGTTGGTTGATGTTTATATGACCAATATTTGATCAAATTGAAATACTTGTAAAGAGAAATTTATCTAAAAGGAATTAACTTTTAAAAACTGTAGTTTACCTTGAAGCTTTTATACTAAGAGACAGGAGTCTACCATATATACAGTTAGCTGTCTGACAAATGATTTTAATGAAAATTATATTAAATTCATACTAATTCTTCTGAAGGTAAACCAAAAAAAAATACAAAATTAGGAAGACGGAAAACCTTTTGTTACCTCCTTTTCCTCATCAAATTGTTATCTAAATGCAATAAAGTAATCTTATAAACTCTACCAAAAATTACAGGTTGCATGTTTTGGGTTGACTTGTATACCCTTAGAATAAAAGGTAGTGAGATGCCTAAATCATTTTTCTTTGTAACTTGTCATGCCTAATGCTAATTTATCGAAACAAATGCTTTAATCTCTTTACTCTTAAAAAAAGGTAAAAGCAGATTTATGTAAAATTAGTTTAGCTGTAAACAACTCACTCTCAAAACAATATCTAAGACCTCTGCTGCTCCTAGCTTGTTCTTTTGTTCTTTCTGCACAATCATACAACTGAACACTATACCCCCCCAAAAAAGTCATCTTACTTATATTTTAATAGCTAGATTGAGAAAAAGGAAAGGGTAATTGAAGTAAATATTATTAAAAGGAGTTAGTATTTGTTAAGTTAAACTTGTACATATAGCAAAACTAAAACTGGTACGGTTTTCTGGGAAAACTTTTCTTGAGCTAACTTCCAGAACAGCAGAAAATCCAGCTGCCTGGGTTACTTGAGATAAAAATGGATTCACACTTAGGCAAAAGGATGACAGAAGTGAGGTGATAATTAAATGGCATAGCTGTGAAATGGTGATGCTCAACATCTCTCCTCTGGCAGGGATGGCACATAGAATTCTACTGCTAACTGCATTTCATGAACTGCATTTTAGTGTGGAGGCCTATAAAAAGCAAACAGTATAAGAAGCAAGATCTCAATTGTTATCTGTGCTTTTTGCTGCTGAACAAGTTAGCGCTCTGGCTAACTTGTGCTTCTCCAGTTCCTCTGGGATTTCATGCGCCATCATCCTTGGAGGAAGATTTGGAGTATAGAATCTGTTGACATCTTAGTTCTGGGGGAATAGGTTCTGAAGAGAAAAGACAAGAAAAGACAAGTCAAGAAAGCCCCTGTGTTGAATGGAAATGGTGAGAAGGGGAAAAAGTTAAGAAAAAGAAAAAGAAAGAAAGAGGAAAAGGAAAGAAAGAAAGAGAGAGAGGGGGAGAGAGAGAGAGAGAGAAAAAAGAAAGAAAGAAAGAAAAGAAAGAGAAAGAAAAGAAAGAAAGAAAGAAAGAAAGAAAGAAAGAAAAAAAGAAAGAAAGAAAGAAAGAAAGAAAGAAAGAAAGAAAGAAAGAAAGAAAGAAAGAAAGAAAAGAAAGAGAGAGAGAGAGAGAAAGAAAGAAAGAAAAGAAAGAGAGAGAAAGAAAGAAAGAAAAGAAAAGAAGCAAGGAGGAAGGAGGAAGGGAGAGAGAGAGGAGAGGAGAGGAGAGGAGAGGACAGGAGAGGACAGGAGAGGGAAGGAAAGAAAGAAAGCACATGTGGGAATCAGAATTATTGACCATAGAGAAATTTTATGTGCACATGAATCTTTTTGGAAAGAAACCGTCTGTGTGTCCGTGTTCCAAGATTCACTATTACAGTCCTTCTTGAAACTGAGAGAAACATTAGAGGTCATTCCAGAACAACCCCAAGGCTCAAGTCCTCTTTAAACATATAACATTTGCTATCAAATACTTGAAACCTCTTTTCCAGAACAACCAATCCTAATTATATCAACAAATTATTATTACTATAGAATTTGAATGTCCTCCTCATTTCCCAAATCCTTGTTAATATTGTCTGGATAGTCAAATTCATCTGTTTCTTTCTAGAAGAAGCACTCCCAGAAATGGGCAGATCCCTCCAAGGACAGCTCACTGGTATACAGTTAGGCAGGACTGGCTATTCTCTCCTTTTGGACTCTGTGGGCATGTTTAAATTTGATAGTATATTAAGACATGTTACCTACCCCTCCTGAAATAATACAAAAAGTATGTTGCACTTAATGGAAATATGTAAATGAGAAGGTACAAACTCAAATGAGTTCCAGCAGTTAGGCAGGTAGCAGACGTGTGTTGTCATCCAGTAACTCTAAGGTGTGGCAAGGATTGCAGTAACCTAGAGAGCACATAGCATCCTTAAAGTCATGCAGGCCCATTTATGTCTTTAAACACCATGGTGGACAAGGGAAACACTGAATTCACCCACGGTCTGCCAATTTGCTACCACTGTGCCTCAAGCTAGGCCATCTACTATTCCTTTTATGCTGAGCAAATAATATATGGCGTGCTCCAAAATAAACTCTTTAGAAAAGGAAGCATTTCACTACAAAATAACTGATCATTTATTTTAAATCTTTCAGAAATAACTTTTCAAATGATGTGAAGCCTTTTGTGACATTTGGATGTTGGTTGACATCTCTTTTCCCAAAGTTCAGAAGACTGTTTATTCTAAAGATATTTATTGTTAATATTAATGTTAACATTTATTTAGCTTACTGTGTGGCAAGCACTATGCTAAGTATTTTGTGCACGTGATCTCTGATAATCCTCAGAAAAAGAAGACAAAATTGGCACTGCCCTCAACTAGCAAAGTATATAACTTTTGCTACTGTCCTTTCTCTCCTTGTTCCTTTCTGTTTCTCAGTAACGAGACACATTTTTGTAACCCTTAAGACTAGGTTCCAGGCACCTCCATCCTTAGAAATAAACTCATTAAAAATATACTGGTTTATTCTTTAGCTGCTCATAGAGAGTTAAGAAGCAGCTACTCCAATGACTTATTTGTAGAGTGCTTTTGTTCCCAGTTGTCTACGCCTGGACTTTCTATTAATGCACCCTCCCTTTGTATTTTAGACAGAGCTCGGATAGAGAGTCCAGCCTTTTCTACTCTCAGGGGCTGTCTAACTGATGGTCAGGAAGAACTCATCCTCCTGCAAGAGAAAGTCAAGAATGGGAAAATGTCTATGGATGAAGCTCTGGAGAAATTTAAACACTGGCAGATGGGGAAAAGTGGCCTGGAAACGATTCAGCAGGTAATATTGGCCCCAGTGTTTTCTGGGACATTCTATAACTTGTGGAGCCCCTAGTTTGTTAATGTTTAATTTTCACAAGGAATGCAGGTAACTGTTCTTTTATTTTTAACTAGCCACTAAGAAAGATACTTCAAGAAATCAATTAAATGTTTGAAACTATCCAGATATTATGTTCACCAGCCATTGATGAAGTCAATCCTCTAACCAGTATACCAAAGCTAATACCTAATCAGCTTATAATACCTGTCTTTAGTATAGTGAGTGTTTTTTTGAATCTCGTTGCTGAAATTAAGTTAAAGCATCTTTACACTGAAGAGTGTATTATGTATGCCAGGCTTAAAAGGAAAGGAATGAGACAATGATTAAAATCACACTAAGCAACAGTCCTAAATAAAATGCAGTAAGTTGTATCTTCTTTCTCCTTAAACTTTTATTTATATATATGTACACATACACATTTACATATGCATATGTAATTTACATATGCATATGTAAATGTGTGTGTGTGTGTATCAGTCACAGTTTATAGAGAAATACCAAGAATATTAAGTTCAAATAAGCTTGTCTTCTGTAAATATGATTTACCTCCTGAGATGGGATTGGAGGACATGGTTCAGAGATGAGAATGAAAACAAAATATACCACACACTCAGTGAGAGATAACACAGTCATAGTCCCATATTCCATCCCTTTTCACTCCAAAATTATTTTAACAATTTTTTCTTCTTATCAAGGAAATCCCATTCCTTCAAAACCCAGTTCTAGATAGCTGTTTGATTAAACATATTTAATAAGCAAATTTAGGCCAAAGTATAAATAATTGATAATAGCTTAATATTGTAACTTTCCCAAGAGATAATTTTTATTTAAAAGACATTGCATAGGAAAACATTTTTAAACAATAAAAAAGAATCAAAATAGAGAAATTTCAAACGATACAGTATATAGGCCAGGGGACTTTCCCAGTGCATCTGAGATCGTGCCTTGTTAGAAACCAGCTGTCTCCAAGGGCGGTTATGGTTGTGGGTTGGTGGCTGAACCTCATCCAGATTTTGTGACACTAAGCAAAGGCAATTATTTTGCCAAATAAATGCTAAAGAATACTGATTGTAGAGTTCTGCAAGTCTTTATTGTTCGTGATTAGAATTACAATATTGCTTCTCAATCATGTCAATGTCATCACCAATACACATGTGTTTAGGTGCAGACCTACAAATCACGTTCCTAGCAATGTTAGATTGTATAGATTTTGTTGAATTAAGTCAATTGTATTTCATCCTCCTGACACTCTTAAATAATAACGTTTTCCATTTAGAGTTATCCAACTTAAATATCATTTTGGAAATATTTCACTAGTTGTTTCATTAAACCCTGGTTGTTCCTATTTTTATATTTATTGTATATTTATACTTAATCTTGTTTTAGGAAGAATTTAAGGTGCTTCATACTCACTACTTAGAGATTGATCTGACTCACCTAATAATAAGGTGATAGTGGGATAATGAATATTGTTCATGTTTATTTTAAAAATACATATTTTTTAAAATAAAGGCTGAAAGATACTAAGATTACTTTCCATAAGCAACAAAGTTTAATGACTTGGTCTGAATTCTGTCAGAGGAATCAGTCAGTCCTTAACATAAGGGACTTGGCCAAAATCCAAACAACAGAAAGACGAATATTCCTCCTGTTTTTTCAACACACACACATGCAAACAAATATGCATTCCTATGTACTTTTCAATATTTTTCTTGCAGCTTGCAAAAGTATTTGTTTGTATCCTATGAATATAAATGAAGTTATCAGAGGTAACTGAAATCATATTATTACTGATGAAGGAATTATCCTAGGAAACTAAGAAAGAAAATGGCACAAACATGGAGTTAATAGTGGAAACTGGTTTCCAGAATAACTAAGAATCATGTTGAATCCCTGGCATTGAAGATGAAATGGTGGAGAAGGGAAAACCTTGCCCTTCACTCTCCTCACTCCTACTCACAGTCACGGAGTGCCTGAAGAAGAGTTTGGCACCACTGGTAGGAGAGATCTGTAAGGCAATGGAAACAACTAAATAGGAAAAGTGGTTTCTAAGCTTCCAGGAAAATCCTAAGGAAAGAGTGCTACTCTTAAGTTCTGTTCTAAAACAAGATTATTAAATGTTAGCTTGTTTTACATTTTGCTTAAAAAGATAATGTTCAATATTTGGAATTAAAGAAAGATCACAGATGTGCCAAGAAGAAGAATCCTGTTATGTTCATCTGCTTTTAAGTCTCTGATTTTTAGAATTAGAACACTGGGAAGGAATGTGCCATACAGGGGCTGGAGATGGGCTCAGGCAGCAGCAAACCATCACTGTGTAACCCTTCTGCTTTTGGACACCAAATAGCAAATATAGACCCCACAAGCATTGGGTTGGGAAAACAGCTTCCCAAAGAATTGCACTCTAGGATCCAATCTTGACTCTACTACTGATAATTATGATTTGGGAAAGTTACTATACCTCTCTGTACCTCAGTTTCTATATCTACAAAATGGAATGACAACATTTTACATCCACTTCATTAAGCTGTGAGAATTAAGTAAGATAACATATGGAAAGTATCAAGGATGGCAATTGAGACATCGTAAGTAGCAAATAATATCAAGTAGCGGCATTGGTATTGCTAATAGTAGTTGATGTTTTCATCTTGATCCATAAAAATTTGAAAATCATAACTATGTCCTGGTTGTTTCTACATTAAGGAGAAGTTACGACAACTACGAGATTGCATTATTGGAAAAAGGCCAGAAGAAGAAAATGTCTATAGTAAGTAAGATTCGCCTGCTATTCAAAAATAATAGAGTGATTAAGTTGAAAATTCAGGGACTGTGGAGATGAATGGGCCTGAGTTCAAATCGAAACCTCAACAATTCCCAGCTGTCTAACCTAGAGAGGGTCTTAATCTCTGGTAGTGAAATTCCTTGTCTGCAAAATACACATCTATAATTATGTATGCATCTGAGAGTGCTTGTGTGAGTTAACATAAAAAATACTTATCATATTCTCTGGTTCATAATGCAAGTTCATAATGAACCAGAGACTATAAGTATTTTTTATGCTATAAATATAATAAATGCTTGTTACTCTCTTTCTTTTGATGTCTATGTAAGTTGCAAATAGGATAACTCTACTCAATTTTTTAATAATCCATTATACAAGAAATCAAGGTCGGGTGTGGTGGCTCACACCTGTAATCTCAGCACTTTGGGAGGCCGAGGTGGGTGGATCACTTGAGGATAGGAGTTCAAGACCAGCCTGGCCAAATCGTGAAACCCTGTCTCTACTAAAAATATAAAAATTAGCCAGCCATGGCAGTGCATGCCTGTAATCCCAACTACTCAGGATGCTGAGGCAGGAGAATTGCTTGAACCCCCCGGGAGGCACAGAGGTTGCAGTGAGCCAAGATCACACCATTACATTCCAGCCTGGGTGACAGAGCAAGACTCCATCTCAAAAAAAAAAAAAAGAAATCAAATGATTAAAGAGACATGCTTTTGAATAAGTTAAAATATTAATACAGTGAGTTCTCACAATTGTCAATGTGTGTATCATTTTAAAATTTCTAATAATTAAAAGTTGCTCTAGCAGTGGAGGTTAGGGGAGGGAATACTCTATGTTAAGCCAAACATTATTAAGATGATAAAATTTTGCTAAAATAAACAACACATTCAAAAATTAAAAATAAATTGTGTTATCACTATCTGACCACTGTTTCCCCAAGACTCTACCCCTGCACAGATAATCAAAAACTAGCAGCCACTAAAAGAGTGTGAAAGCTTCCATCTCTTCCATTTTCATTAATATTACATAGCTTTTAGCTAGTCCTTCATGTGGAAATTCATTTCTCTTCATATTATAGTTACGTATTTTTCTAGAGCAAATTCTTTAAGCACCTTAAAATGTTTGTAAAACACAAATATGCTTTCTAAAATAATTAAGGTCATAAAGACAGGGCCATCTTATAGGTGACAGACACCTCCATTCTAATATGAATAAGATTAAAATTTTAACGACTTATAAAATTACAAGTCATATAAATAATTTTATCAAGGAGCATTAAAAAGCTAACATTTATTATCTCCCATACATTATTGTTTCTTACAATAACTTTATGAGGTGAGCAATATTTCCGATTTACAAATAAGGAAACTGAGGCCCTGTTAAACTAAAAAGTTAAAGGACACACATAAGAAATGAGAAACCATTTCTGTTTAATTCAAAATCAATGCTCTTAATTATCGGTGCCTTAATTATGAATAAATTAGTTCTTCTTTCAGTCACACTGGAATAAATAATACTACACAAATATTTCTATTGCACAAGACACTATTACTGGGCAAATATATGAAGCAAGTGATATTAGGAGGCAGACAATAGGTAGCCAAAGACTATGAATAATTCTAGAGACAAGAAGTACTCATGAGATGCCTCTTATTATGGTCCAGTTCTCTGCCAGAGGAATATTTCCTGACTACACTCTGAGCAAAGCAAAGAAGTTCTATTGAACTGAGAAGGCAGAGATCCTAGTTCAGGGCAGCTGAAGCTACTAGAATGTGTGTGGTGGGTCATTGAGAGCAGGTGACTGTGAGAGGTAGCCTAAGAGGTCCATGGGAAGCACTCCACAAGTCTGTGGCTGAGAGATGAGCTGTACCTGTGCAAGCAAGACAGTCAAGGCATGCAAGACAGCAACTTCTAGGGCATTGAGAGCAAAAGGGAGACACTAAAAGTTGAGCAGAGTTGAGGAAAAAGCCAGCCTGGGAATTTTTAAGTTCTGGCACTGTCAAATTAGGGAGATCTTAACACCTCTTTAAAATATCTGACATTCTGCTGTGGTACCCAAAAGATGTAATGAGTAAGGACCAGGATTTAGAGTAAGATCTACTCTAGACATGCCCTAACAAAATCTCAAACCAAGCCCCAACAAGACCTATACTGGAGACAGAGTTTGTAGGCTGACTGAATCTACAAACTCAGGGCCTTAAAAAGAAAACACCTTGGGCACAAAAAGTCCACTGTGAAAGAGAATAAAATTAAGTCTATACAAGTTCTTGCCAGTAATTGAGCTGCCTACTAAAACGAGAACATACTGTCATCAGAAGAATATTCTAGAATCCGGAATATACAACACATTATCTATAATGTCCAGTGTTCAATTAAAAAAAGAAGACATACGAAGAAACAGGAAGCTGTCATCTTAATGAAGAAAAAGAAAGTATAGACGGAACCTGAGATGTTGGATGTTGTTGATCTTAGCAAACAGACTTTGAAAGCACCTCTTATAACCACTGAATTAGTGAAAAATGTGTTTTTAAGGAGGGAATAAATAAAGAATCTCAGCAGAAAAAAAAAAATGAAACTATATAAGAACCAAGTAGAAAGTATAGAAAGTAAAAGTACAATAAAATAAATAAAAATTAATCAGATGAACTTATTATCAAATTGGAGATGACAAATTAAGAGTTAGTAAACAAAATTAAGACAGACCAACAGAAATTATCTAATTTGATTTTTAGAGAGATAAAAAGACTTCAAAAATGAACAGAGTCCCAGCAACATTTAGGACAATATAATGCATTTAAAATGCATGTAATTAGAACCCAGAAGGAGAAAAGAGTGAAAAGAGGCAAAACATTGTTTAAAAAATGATGACCAAAACCTTGCCAAATTTAATGCAAACCACTTGCATATTGTTGAAAAAACTTTTAAAAAATAAAATTAGCATAATTGTTAAAAAAAAAAAAAAAGGACTTCTAGGCAATTTATTTTCAAGCTACTTTAAGCCAAGGTAAAAAGAAATTCTTGAAACCAACCAGAGGAAACACACGTTACATATAAAGGAAAAAAAATTCAATAATTTATTATCAGAAACAATGGAGGATTGACGACAAGACAATAACATCTTTAAAGTCCTAAAAAATGACCACTTAGAATTCTAAATCCATAGGAAATATACCTCAAAAATGTGATAAAATAAAGACATTTAAGATAAATGAAATGAGATAATTCACAGCAAAATTACAGCAGAATAAATGCTTAAAAATATCATACAAGGTGAAGGAATGTTAACAAACAAACTCAGATTCTCACCAAGGGAATCTGTGGGAAAAAGACTACTGAAAATTATAGAAAGGAGGTAGATATAAAATATTACCTTTTCCTTTTTCTCATCAATTACTTCAAAGACAACTGTTTAAAGCAAAAATAATAAAACTTAAGTTAGAAGTTCTATAATATGGAGAAGGAAATATGAAAACAATGATGCAAAGGGCAATGGAGGCAGATAAATAGAATTATGTGTTTCCAAAATTGTTATGTGGTGAAGTGTAAAGATTCAGTTATAAAGTAGGAAGTGGAGAGGGTAAAGTAAGAAGTATGATGTGTCAACTATAAGGCATGAAGTACTAAGGGGTATACTACTGTCTCAAAATCTAAGTTAAAGGTGCATATTTTATTTTAAAAATAGAAAGAAATCAGTTTAAAAAATAGATAAGAAGTATACTTAGGAAACCCATAGAGGAAATAAAATAGATTATTTTTAAAAAAACTGTTTGATTCACCAAAAATAAAGCAGGAAAGTAGAAAAAGAGGAATATAAACAAAATGGATAAGTGAAGAACCAAGAACAAGATGGTAGTATTTAACTAAGCCATATCATAATTATATTAAAGGTGACTGAATTAATTGCTTCTTTTTAAAAGCAGACATTTTCAGACTGGAAACGAAAGCAATATCCAATATTATGCTGTCTAAAAGACATGTATTTTAGATATAAAACACAGATAATTTGAAAGTAAAGTATGGTAAAAGGTTACTATGACAATAGTAATAATCATAAGCATAAGAAAGGTGGCATGGATATATCAACATAACACAAGATAAATTTCAAAACGGAGAGTATTACAAAAGATAAACAAGGATATTACATACAGATAAAAAGGCAGTTCACTAGAAAGATAGAACAATTCTAAATATCTACATAATATAAAGTAATTTTATATTATATATTTGAATTTTACTAAAACTCCTGAAGCAAAATCTGACAGTACTCGGAGTTGTTTTCACTTCTTTCTTACTAATTAATAGAACAAATAGACAAAAATCGGTAAAGATACAGAAGACCTAAACAACACTATCAGCTAACTTGACCCAATTGACATTTACAAAAAAATTTTTTTAAGTCAGAATACATATTTATTAAAGGTATACATGGAGGTTCACCAAGATGAAACATAGGCTAGATGATCAAAAAAGTTTCAGTAAACTTCTAAAGACTGAAATCTTCAGAGTATATTCTCTAAAAGATTTCAGTCTTTTAGAATCTTATATTCTCTTATCACAACAGAAGTAAATTAGAAATCAGTTAGGAATTATATATCTAGAACATCTCCCAATATATTTAGGAATTAAATACACATTCAAAATAATATGAGGGTCAAATAAGAAATCATAAGAAAGTATTTCAACCTGAATAGTAATGAAAAAAACATATCAAAATTTGTAGAATGCAGGTAAAACAAGTATGTAGTTAACAGTTAACTAAAGGGAAATGTATTACTATAAGTATTATACTAGAAAATAACAAAAAGCTTGAAGTCAATGTTTTAAGTTTCCACTTTAGAAAAATAGAAAATGAAAAGCAAACCTTCAAAAAGAGGTAAGAAGAGAGAAATAATTAAGATCAGAAATCAGTAAAAAAGGAAAGAGATAAACAAAAAGAAAATAAAATCAAAAGCGAGTTGTTTGAAAACATAATTTGATAAGCCCATGGGAAGAATGATCAAGGGAAAAAAAAGACAACAAGATACCTAAATTGGGAATTAAATTGGGTTACTACAACAGATCCTACAGACGTTAAAAAGATACTAAGGGCCTGGTGTGGTGGCTCTGGCCGGGTGCGGTGGCTCATGCTTGTGATCCCAGCACTTTGGGAGGCCAAGGCAGGTGGATCACCTGAGGTCAAGAGTTCAAGACCAGCCTGGCCAACATGATGAAACCCTGTCTCTACTAAAAATACAAAAAATTAGCAAGGTAAGTTGGCATGCGCCTGTAATCCCAGCTACTCCAGAGGCTGAGGCCAGAGAATCGCTTGTACCTAGGAGGCGGAGGTTGCAGTGAACCAACATTGTTCCACTGTGCTCCAGCCTGGGTGGCAGAGCAAGACTCCATCTCAAAAAAAAAAAAGATACTAAGAAAATATATAATTAACTTTCTGCCAATACATTTAACAACTTAGACCAAAAAGACAAATTACCTGAAAAAAAACTTGCCAAAATTGACTCAAAAAATAAAATTCCACACTCCTCTGAGTATACCTCTTTGTACAATTCTCACTTTTAGAATTTTGTTAATATTTTGCATATTCAGTAAATGAAGACAAGACAGAGATAGGAGGCAAAATGGAATATAGGCAAAAAAAAGGTATTATGGATAATGAGAGCCAGGTTTTTTATTGTCTGAGAAATCAGTTATAATTAAGGAAAGAAGAAGGGCTAGAATGACTGTTATGGTATTGCACTGGAATTGGAAGTAAAAGTATAACAAATAATTACAGAGAGATAAATATAGAAATATAGTTGTGTGTACAAGTATGTATATTTCTTTAACTCTTTCAGCTAAGAGGACCTAGAGGCAGTGACAGCCCAGCACCAAAGAGCACATCTAGTACCCACGTCTTAGTTTATGAAAACAAATGGCCCATAAGCATGTGAAAAGATGCTGAATATCATTAACCATTAGCAAAAACAAATTCAACTACAATGATGTACCAATACACAAAAAGTATAATGAATTACCATTTCAGGAGACTGTTAGTTAGGATGTGGAACTGGATATGCATTGTATGCATTGCTTATGGGAATATAAAGTGCAGTGATAACTGTGGAGAAGTCAAATATGCACTTACCATATGACCTAGTCATTCCATTCCAGGTTTTTTCCCAAAACAAATAAATGCCTGTGTTCACACAAAGACTTGTTCACAGAAGTTCATGGCAGTTTCATTCATAATATCCAAACTGGAAACAATTAAATGGGGTTATTACAACATATGCAAATGTCCAATAGAAGAATACATGATTATACTATGATACATTTATACTGTGGAATACTATTTAGCAATAAAAAGGAATACTTACTATTGTAACAACAATATAAATGAATCTCACAAACATTACACATACTGAGTGAAAGATAACAGACAAAAAGGATGGATCAGACACAAGGGAATCAGACACAAAGGAATACTACATACTGTGGTATTCCATCTATCTGGAATTCTAGATAAAAATTATCTAGACAAAATTATAGAAGTAGAAATTGTTAGGGGTGGTGAATATCCAGGTTACCAGCAGCAAATCCATACAGGTCTGCAGCAACCTCAATTCTTGTCTCCTCAGAAGAAAGAGTTTGACAGAGGGGCATAAGGCAGAAAAAGAGACTGAGGCAAGTTTCAGAGCAAGAGTGGAAGTTTATTAAAAAGCTTTAGAGGAGGAAGGAAAGAAAAGTACACTTGAAAGACACCAAAGCAGGCACTATGGAGGTCAAGTTCCCTGCTTAACATTGATCCTAAGACTTTATATGCTGGCCAACTTCCAGCATCTTGCACACATTTCCCTTCATTCTTCCCTAAGAGTGAGCTGCCCATATGCACGGTGTCCTCCTTACACCTGGGAGGTGAGCATGCGCAGTGTGTTCAGAAAGTTGTATGCATCCCCACCTGAGGCTTTCTTTTCTTTTCCAGTGTAATGCCCCTGGAAGGTCATACTCCACCATTTTGTCTCTTAATGTGCATGCTGGAGCTCACTCACCTAATTCCTGAGAATTTATTGGAAGTTAATTACCAATTTCAAGTGTTTTTATCTGATTGGGAAATTGCCTCTGCCTGGCATCTGTGATGAATTACCACTTTAGTGAGACAACTCTGGACCATCAGCAAATTGCCTCCCCACTTTAGTGAGACAACTCTGGACCATCAACAAATTGCCTCTCCCTGGCACAGGCTGCCAATGATCATTTTTAGAAAGGCAGTATGATAACTGTCGAACCATCACCTGATGGTCGCCTGACATTCCTGGTGGGTGATGTGGAGCCCTCTCCTGCCTCACTCATGCCTGGCTAGCTACCTACTGCAACAAAATCAGATCAGGGGTTGCCATGAGTAATGTTTGAGTGAAGATTGGCATAAGGGGGAATTAGGGAATAAATTATGGAGATAAAAATGGTCTCTATCCTAATTAAGTTGGTGGGTACATGGCCATATATATTTCTCAAAAATCATCAACCTCTTTCCTTATAAATGGTTGAATTGTATGTAATTATTCCTGAATAAAGTTGATTTTAAAAAAGAATGAAGTAGCTCAAGCTAGGGGAATATCAAGGCAGGGCAGCAAGCTTGTGTTAATATCAAACACATCTAAAATCATAATACCTTGAGACAAAGGTTGGGAGAGAAAAGGACAAAAGTAATAAAAGGCATGGTTTCACTCACAGTGGCTGGAGGTAGAGAAATTTGGGTTTGATATTTTTAGATCAGATTGTGAGATTTCATAGCGACCTCAAAGATAAGAAGTAGTCCAACAATGAAAAAAGAAGAGAGAGAGAATTTAAGATAAATATTGAAAAACTCAGTAGAACATGCTTTTTTTTTTTGTCTTCTAGATAAACTCACCATTGTGCACCATCCAGGTGGTAAGTGCTTAGTATTTATTGAAGGATCGAAGACTAAAACAAAATACAGAGTAAATCAATTTCAATATGAATGTAAACCTAATGTGATTAGGCAAGTCAGTGTAAAAATTCACATAGATTTTATATTTGTATGCAAAAAGACTTGACATCCAAAATAAATGTGAAGTGACTATAAAATAGAAACACTGAGGCATCATAACATAATAAAAAGACTGTGAGTTTGGAATTCTTGATTGATCCTGCTGTTCCTAACTTACTAATTGTGACCTATGGCAAGTCACTTAAGCTCTGTGGGCCTCGGTTTTCTCATATGCAAAATGTAGATAAGCATTGTACCATGGGGAATTGCTATAAAGACTGATAATGATATATGTAAATGGAATCTCATGCTTGATACTTGGGAGTTATTGATAAAGCAAATGAAATTTGAGAAACACTTGAGAGGGTAATTCATTTCCATTCATTTCCATGTGATGGGGGGATTGCGTGCTGAATACTGGTAGAGTAAGGAGGAGCTAGAGGTCAGCTAGGGAGCTGTTGAATATTCTAGAAGCAACTGTCCACAGCCTGGACCAAAGCACTGACTGTGAGAATGAAAAAGACATAAAACTGAGCCCTGTGGCTGGGATGAGAAATGGAATACCAGTGATAAAGTCAGGAGGAGCAGTAGTCTAGGAGAACAGGGAGTAGAAGGCACAGGTTTTCATGGAAAAGTGTGTTTTGTAATTGGCCAATCCTGGTGGATGTGGAAAAGAAAAGGAAGGAGTAATCAAGTGGAGGTGTTGGAAAGATTGTTTCTAAACTCAAATGACTCCTGGGGGTCCTCAGTATCCTACCCCAGTCAATCCACATGGGCAGGATAAATTAACAGCACATGCCAAGGGTGCCTTTTCAATATCCCCCTTTTATCTTTCTAGTAATTCATCTTTTCACCCATATCCTACCTTTGTAGAAATCATTTTTAATAAGTACTGAATAAATGAATCATTGAATTTGTGAATGAAGACAGAGGTAATAACTAAGTTTGTATTTCTAGGTAAAGAAACTGTCCACAATGAAAATATGTTTCATAACATACCCTTCAGCAACAAGGTAGGTTGTATTTATTTTGATTTCTATAAAATGCAAAGAAATAACTTGGTTAAAAAAGAACATGAGAGCCTTCTATCCTCTCTGTGCTTTTAAACATTCTAACAAATATGAACAAAATAGGTCAGGTGTGCCTTTGTATACAAAATCTATGAGCAGTAATTTAAGGAAATTATTTGGAAAAAAACAAAGAGGGAACTCAAAGGAAAAAGCCACTGAGGCTAAAGTGTGGCTAAATTCAACATATACAGACCAAAAACATCTTAGAGGAATTATCAATACATGTGTTTTAACAACAGAAATATAATGAGTCTACTGTGTTTGCATCACAATGTATATAGTCCTTAAACACTAGGACGTTAACAGGGAAAATATAGCCCCAAAATATTATTGATTTAAATATGCATTACTTCACATCCTAGAGTTAACTGAAAATAAACTGCTAACGAGAAGCTAATGATGACACTAAGCAAAGATAGCAGCAACAGAAAACCAAGACCAATTCAAGACAACACTGATAATGTCCTGACTACAATTTTTCTTCATAAAAATAACGTTATTCCAATTATCTGCATATATGATGTAACACACTTGCACTGCTACCAAGGGTCATGTAGCAGCTGGATTTCTTGCTAAAATCCTGATTTAGAGTGTTTGCTAAGTTCTTATAATGAAAGAATTTTAATTTTCCAAAGTTTAATAACCCTTTAAGCTCCTTGTATATTTCAAATAAGTCACAAGTAATCATAAAATCATTCACCCTTAAAAACTAATTGAAATATTTTCTTCTGTAGCCCACCACCAAGCTGTGTGTATGTGTATATATGTATACACTATATAATATATATACTATAGACTCATTAAACTCATTCAAATGTAGCAAAATTGTGGGGTGCACTATGGCCTTAGGGCTCATGAAAATATGAACCAAAGATTCTTCTATAAGAGCTGAAGGACTGCACAAACATGGCATGTATTTTGGAGAGAAGATTTTGAATAAGAGAAAAAGAATACACATTCCCTATGCTTAAACTGTTCTCCTTCAAAATGGAAATAAAATTTGAATTCAAGGACTTGGGTGCAGTTGAACTTTACAATGATTCTGTTTCCTTTTAAAATGGAAGATTGTCTTGCCAGTTGTCCCTGCAAAGCTGCTTTTCCATGGCTATGAAAGGCAACTATAACTTTGTCATATTTCTTTGTTCAACCTTAAAATAGAGACAAATTGAGAAATGCTAGCTGTGTATCTTTTTTTTCTTTCAGCTTCCTGCTCAGCCCCAAGTTGAAAAGGAATTCGGTTTCTGTTGCAAGAAAGATCATTGAAGAAGGTAAAATATTAGCTATGTATATTTTTTAGAAAACCTAAAGCAGCCTTGTTAGGGACTTAAAGGAATCATTTGTCTAAAAAACAGAATTCTTTAAATATTTCATTGTCTTCTCCTGAAAGAATTAACATGTATTTTTCAAGCTAAAGGTTATTGCTCTGTAGAAAGATTTATGTATAGGGGTGATTTAATGCCAACTAATCAATTTAAATTGATGAGCTATTATTCACTAATACATTTCCTATTATCTCATTTCCAGGTTATTATAATGAAACTCAAGAATCTGCACACATTTTGCTTTCAGGGTGAAGCAAGCTTGCATTTGGATTGCCTGCTCTCTTTAAAGCAAATCCATACTATGAAAGCAGAAACACCTTCAGGTTTCAGAATTTGTTATTGGTAGAATTTATTGTCATTATACCTGCTTCATATGGGTATATTAATATTAAAACACAATACCATAGAGTAATTGCATTATTTGAAAATTCTTGCATTTTACAATGCACTTCACCACTGAAGCAGCTAATTTCCATTTTGAAAATTAAAAGAAAATAGCACAGAGAAGTTAAATGCTGTGTAGCAAAGTTGTGGGGTCTGCTTGAGGGCACTAACCTCAACAGATTATTCCTCCTTCCCTTAGAATAACCATGAAAATACAAACTTACTGAGCACATTTTTGTTTTTAAGTAGCTGGTTCATTTTCTGAATTTCTGACATTCAGAGTTCTGACATCATGTTTGCAGAAACTTGTCTTATTTAGTGTCTATTTGCATGTAACCCTGAAAACATTATTATTTGAAAACTTTTCTTATCTCAAATTAATATACATTTTCACAACCTACCTTTGTATTAAGACTTGCAATTTTATCAACCTATTTCTTAGAAACAATTTACTGGCTTATAATACAATGCAATTTTATCATACTATAATTTTCATGTACAAATGCCACAAATAAATTGAATGTTTAAAGCTATGTCTGAGTTTTTAAAGTAAATTTATGAGAATTAGCCAATAAAATCACTTCTCGACCTTTTGGCTAAGATCAGGTGGAGTATTGGCCAATGAATTTTTCTGCTTACTGGTTTAAAGGGGGAAGATTACCAAAACTTGTTTAAAATAAATAAACTTGATTAATATTACTGTATAGGGCTCATATAGTAGACACAATTGATTTTTTTCTAGCTTCTAAGCAGTGACATGAATATATATTTAAAGCCATGTTACGAAACACTTGTCATGGGTTTCTTTTGACTGTTAACATTCTCAAAACAAGCTCAAGTTTTAAAAAATAATATAGTAGCTTGATTAACCCCTAACAAAAAGTGCTTTTAATTATGATATTTGGAAATTCAGTCCATAGTTTTACATCCAACATTTCAAGAACTGGTATGTCCTTTCACACACTAAGCCTCCATTTCTGTGGGCTGTCCCATCCAAAGATAAGAAAAAGAAATAAGACATTTCCTTGGAGATTTGGAGCATTTCTAAAAGAGCCATAGCCACTGCCAGAAAGGAAAGGCCCAAATGTAAAATCTTCTGAAGATTTTGAACTGAATTTTCAGAGTTTGTATATCTTATCTTTTTCATCATCCCTTCTTCAAATTAAATATATTCCCAAGCCATTACTCCTAACTTAAGCCAAGAGCCATCCCCTTCCTTAGGTTATTAAATTTACCAGCACTCTGAGTTCTAGAGAAGTTTGAACTGGTATTGAATGTTATCAAAAGAGTTTTATTTTGAATATTAACTTGCTTATTTTCTACCTAGTCAATTTTCTAGGAAAACAAAGAGGAAGCATTTAAACTGGTAGATTCTTAAGTGAGATAATTAGGCTGCTCCGGACATTTGGCAATATCTGGAGACATTTATTATTTTCATGACTGAGGAAGAGGTGCTCCTGGCATCTAGTATGTATAGACCAGGAGTGCTGATAAACATCCTATAATATACAAGACAAAGAGTTATCCAGTCCAAACTGTCAAGAGTTTTGAGACTGGGAAACCTTGATTTAGACTATAAAGTAAAATGGGACTCATCCTTAAAGCTATGTTGTTAAAATAAAATCAGTTAACTTTATACAGAATTTTCTGAAGGTAGAAACCCCTATGATAGAATAAGTGAATGTCATTATTCTGAAGTGCATATGGCTTAAGCTTAAATGGATCACTAAAAACAGTATTCAAAAAATGGATGAGTCTAATACATTTTCATGAATCAACATTACAAGTATTCTGCCAATGGAACCTCTAATTTTTAGAAAATGAGACTATTAGAAGAGAGCTCAGCATCATAAGCATAATTTAGTGAATCCCAGCTGATTAGCACAAAGCTGATATGAGCCCCTATTCACAGCCCTCTCTGTAGCTATACCTGCCAGCTATACTTCTTAGCCTGCCTTATTTTTTGGAGTTCAATCTTAAAAATAGGGCAACCACATAAAAGAACGCAAAGGGTAACATTCTCAATACCTTAGACCTCAAATTTATAAATCATAGTGTATCATATCCTCAATATTCTCATCTTCACAATGCAGATGATAATGTTCCTTACATAATTTTGTGGGTATTTAGTGACATTATGTGTTTAAATGAGCAGTGTACTACTACATTCAAGAGCATGAACTTTGAAGTAAAACCAAGCTAGTTTGAATCTTGTCTCAGCTATGCACTAGCTGTGTGAACAAAGTGTTTTTCCATATCCTGAGCCCTATTTTATCATTGATAAGATGGGAGTAATAATACCAACATTGGTACAAATTGTTTGAGAGTTAAAGGTAGGGAGGATATGTAATTAATTTATCATCCAAGGAGGACACTTTGGATCATAAAATGGAGTACTGTTGATGATTACAATGAAAAACCAGGCATAAACTGTAACTGCCTCAGGCATAAACAGAGATGCCTGATCACTCTACTTAAATGTGATGTAAGTTCTTAGAACTTTGGCTCAGTGTAAATGGTAAAGGAACATAGTTTGCAAGAAATAATCCTCGGAGTCAGGAGCAAGATGGCTGAATAGGAACAGATCCAGCCTCCAGCTCCCAGCATGAGCGACACAGAAGATGGGTGATTTCTGCATTTTCCAGGTTCATCTCACTGGGGAGTGCCGGACAATCGGTGCTGGTCAGCTGGTGCAGCCTGAACAGCGAGAGCTGAAGCAGGGCGAGGCATCGCCTCACCTGGGAAGCACAAGGGGGAAGGGAATCCCTTTTCCTAGCCAAGGAAAACTGAGACACACAACATCTGGAAAATTGGGTAACCCCACCCTAATACTGTGCTTTACCAAGGGTCTTAGCAAATGGCACACCAGGAGATTATATCCCACATCTGGCCCGGAGGGTCCCATGCCCACAGAGCCTCCCTCATTGCTAGCACAGCAGTCTGAGATCTAACTGCAAGGCGGAAGTGAGGCTGGGGGAGGGGAGCCCACCATTGCTGAGTCTTAAGTAGGTAAACAAAGTCACAGGGAAGCTTGAACTGGGTGGAGCCCATCACAGCTCAAGGAGCCCTCCCTGTCTCTGTAGACTCCACCTCTGGGGACAGGGCAAAATTAACAAAAAGCAGTAGAAACCTGTGCAGATGTTAATGACCCTGTCTGACAGCATTGAAGAGAGCAGTGGATCTCCCAGCACAGAGGTTGAGATCTGAGAACGGACAGACTGCCTGCTCAAGTGGGTCCCTGACCCCTGAGTACCCTAAATGGGAGACATCCCCCACTAGGTGCAGACCAACACCTCACATGGTGGGGTACACCCCTGAGACGAAGCTTCCAAAGCAAGAATCAGACAGTAGCACTGGCTGTTCAGCAATATTCTATCTTCTGCAGCCTCTGCTGCTGATACCCAGGCAAACAGGGTCTGCAGTGGACCTCAAGCAATCTCCAACAGACCTACAGCTGAGGGTCCTGACTGTTAGAAGGAAAACTAACAAACAGAAAGGACACCCACACCAAAATCCCATCAGTATGTCACCAGCATCAAAGACCAAAGACAGATAAAACCACAAAGATGGGGAAAAAACAGGACAGAAAAGCCAGAAATTCAAAAAATCAAAGCGCGTCTCCCCTTCCAAAGGAACGCAGCTCATTGCCAGCAATGGATCAAAGCTGGACGGAGAATGACTTTGATGAGTTGAGAGGAGAAGGCTTCAGTCAAACTTCTCAGAGCTAAAGGAGGAACTACGTACCCAGTGCAAAGAAATGAAAAATCTTGAAAAAAGAATTGATAACTAGAATAATCAATGCAGAGAAGGCCATAAATGAACTGACAGAGATAAAAACCATGACACGAGAAATACGTGACAAATGCACAAGCTTCAGTAACCAACTCAATAAACTAGAAGAAAGAGGATCAATGATTAAGGATCAAATGAATGAAATGAAGCAAGAAGAGAAGCTTAGAGAAAAAAAAAGGAAAAAGAAATGAACAAAGCCTCCAAGAAATATGGGATTATGTGAAAAGACCAAAACTACGTCTCATTGGTGTGCCTGAAAGTGAGGGAGAAAATGGAGCCAACGTAGAAAACACTCTTCAGGATATCATCCAGGAGAACTTACCCAACCTAGTAAGGCAGGCCACATTCAAATTCAGGAAATACAAAGAACGCCACAAAGATACACCTCGAGAAGAGCAACTCCAAGACACATAATTGTCAAATTCCCAGAGTTGAAATGAAGGAAAAACTGTTAAGGGCAGCCAGAGAGAAAGGTCGGGTTACCCACAAAGGGAAGCCCATCAGAATAACAGCATATCTTTCGGCAGAAACTCTCCAAGCCAGAAGAGAGTGGGGGTCAATATTCAACATTCTTGAAGAAAAGAATTTTCAACCCAGATTTTCATACCCAGACAAACTAAGTTTCATAAGTGAAGGAGAAATAAAATCCATTACAGATAAGCAAATGCTTAGAGATTTTGTCACCACAGGCCTGCCCTACAAGAGATCCTGAAGGAAGCACTAAACATGGAAAGGAACAACTGGTATCAGCCATTGCAAAAACATGCCAAAATGGAAAGACTATCAATGCTAGGAAGAAACTGCATCAACTAACGAGTAAAATAACCAGCTAATATCACAATGACAGGATCAAGTTCACACATAAAAATATTAACCTTAAATATCAATGGACTAAATGGTCCAATTAAAAGATACAGACTGGCAAACTGGATAAAGAGTCAAGACCCATCAGTGTGCTGTATTCAAGAGACCCATCTCGCATGCAGAGACACACATAGGCTCAAAATAAAGGGATGGAGGAAGATCTACCAAGCAAATGGAGAACAAAAAAAAGCAGGGTTTGCAATCCTAGTCTCTGATAAAACAGACTTTAAACCATCAAAGATCAAAAGAGACAAAGAAGGCCATTACATAATGGTAAAGGGATCAAATCATCAGGAAGAGCTAACTATCCTAAATACATATGCGCCCAATACAGAAGCACCCAGATTCATAAAGCAAGTCCTTAGAGACTTACAAAGAGACTTAGACTCCCATACAATAATAATGGGAGATTTCAACACCCCACTGTCAACATTAGACACATCAACAAGACAGAAAGTTAACAAGGATATCCAGGAATTGAACTCAACTCTGCACCAAGCGGACCTATAGACATCTATAGAACTCTCCACCCCAAATCAACAGAATATACATTCTTCTCAGCACCACATCGCACTTATTCCAAAATTAATCACATAGTTGGAAGTAAAGCACTCCTCAGCAAATGTATAAGAACAGAAATTATAACAAACTGTCTCTCAGACCACAGTGCAGTCAAACTAGAACTCAGGACTAAGAAAATCAATCAAAAACGCTCAACTACATGGAAACGGAACAACCTGCTCCTGAATGACTCCTGGGTACATAATGAAATGAAGGTAGAAATAAAGATGTTCTTTGAAACCAATGAGAACAAAGATACAACATACCAGAATCTCTGGGACACATTTAAAGCAGTGGGTAGAGGGAAATTTATAGC